AACATCCCAACCTGCCACACCTCCCTGCTCACCCTTACTAGGATCCATCACCATACCACCACCACCACCACGGCTGATGGTCACCTGCTCTCAAGTTGGCACCTTCAAACCTCACAAATTCTTCTATTAAGCCACCCTCACATCACCAGAACCTACCTCAGTACCTCAAGCGCTTGCACATCTTCTTTGGAAGGTTGCTATGGAGGAAGAATTATTGGCCCTCAAACGCAATAACACCTGGACCCTAGTTCCCGCCACCTCATCCATAAAAATCATTGGCTGCAAATGGATTTTTCGATCTAAATACAATCCTGATGGTTTCTTACAACCACGGAAAGCCCGCCTTGCTGCAAAAGGCTTCCATCAAAGTCCTGGTGTTGATTTCTCTTAGACTTTTAGTCCGGTGATCAAACCAGTCACTGTTCGCATTATCCTATCTCTGACCGTTACTTTTGGATGGCCCCTTCAACAATTGGATGTCAACAACGCCTTTTTAAATGGTTGGATTCAAGAACAAGTCTTCATGCAGCAACCCCCTGGTTTTGAAGACCCATCTAATCCAGCTCATGTATGCCGCCCTCACCGTGCTCTTTACGCCCTAAAACAAGCCCCACATGCTTGGTTTGATCGGCTGCATCAAGCACTGTTACACTAGGGTTTTTGCAATTCCACCTCTGACACATCTCTTTTCTTTTTCATCAACGGAACAGTCAAGATTTATCTGCTGGTCTATGTTGACGCCATATTGGTCACTGGGAACAATCAACCACTTATTGATCAGCTTGTCTCCCATCTTGATAAGCAGTTTGCTCTCAAATGGTTGGGCGCTATTCCCTCTTTCCTTGGCACTGAAGCCAAACTGACTCCTTCAGGCTTGCATCTCACTCTGACCAACTATATTGAAGACATTCTCTCTCGCACCAAAATGCTCAACGCCAAACCACTTCCCACACCTGCCAGCCTTGGAGTAAAATTAAGTCACAATAATAGTGATCCTTTCAACAGTCCCATATGCTATATCGCAGCACCATTGGAGCTTTACAATATGTCACCCTGACACGCCCCAAAAATGCTTACATTGTTAACAAACTAAGCCACTTCTTCAGTCTCCCACCAAGTTACAATGGCAAGCCTTCAAACGCGTCCTCGTTTCCTCAAAGTCACGTTCACTTGTGGTATTTCTTTCATCCAATATCTTTTCTCATTCTTCAACAATCTGGTGTGACAACATTGGAGCTGCTGCCTTAGCTGCGAATCTAGTTTTCCACTCAAGAACCAAGCACATCGAAATTGATGTGCATTTCATTCGAGAGAAGTTTTAAAAGGCGACCTTCAAATCAGATACGTCCCAACCTTGGAAAAAACGGCAGACATTTTAACCAACCCGTTGTGATCATCACGGTTTGATTTGTTGAGCACCAAGCCCACTGTGTGTGATCAACATTTTTGCTTCTCATCGTCGCCGGCGATGATATTTCAGGCTGTTGTACATGTCGCGAGGGAAGGCAGATCCTCAGAAATGGTACACGCATTGGGAGGCGGATCTGTGACTGTCCAAAATCGATTTGAGGTGAGATTTTGGATTGAGAGTTTGGTTATTGAAAGCTTTTTATTCAACGTTATTTGGTTAGCTTTTGATTATGATCTTTGCAGTTTCAGTTTGATGTTTTAGACCCACTGAGGAGGTTCGGCCTAACTGGGCATCGTTCGGACCACGAGGATGTTGTGTGTAATGCTTAAGAGTAAAATTTTGATGTGATTGGTGTTTTATTGTTGTATTTTCTGTTTAGGTAATTTCTTGTTGGATTTAAATTTAATGATTGGTTTAGAATTATGGTCTCAGTTTTAATTTTTGCCTTGTTTAAGTTTTGGATTTATTAACAGTTTCGTGCTATGATTATGGTTTGGCTGGAGTTGAGGCTATACTATTTGCATTCTTGCATGTTTAACTGATAACTGTGATTGTCATTTTAAAACTAGTCTTGTGAAAACTAGTTTCAGAATAGTGTTATTGTTGTATGTTTTTCTTTAGTTTATTTGTAATTAAATTGCCGCAATAACTTACTTAGATTCCTCTTAGTCTTTTATTAGGTCGTTTCAAGATCCAATTTCTGCTGTTTATGTCGTCACAGTTTTTTCTGCTAATATTAATTTTCCAGCAAGACTATGGTTATATTTCTTCAAAAATATTGGCTTATTTCCAAGTTTTGTTTATTATTTCTTGTTCTTTCCGATGCTTCCATAATTGTACTCAGAAAGACAAAGTTATTAAAGTTGGGAATCTTTGTGAATTAATTTGGTGTTGTCTTTATGAAGCAATTATAAAGCATTGTGATTTTTGATTCGTTGTTTTGTGATATCTCAATCAATTTTTTGATTTCCATACATAAGTTTTTTTCACTAATATTCGACCCGCCGCTGTTGAGATGGTAGTTTTATTGTTGTGTTTCTAGTAATTCGTTGTTGTTTTGTATCGAATATGTGTTTTATGTGTAATTTTGATGATATTTTGTCCCCAGGGTCTAATTTGATAAGCATGTTTGGTAGTTTGTTTCAGATTTGGTAGTTTTTGAAAGTTTTTTATCGTCTTTATTTCGTATTTTGTAGTTTAATGAATAATGTTTGCTTAACGTCTTTACAATTCATGCATAATTTTTATTGCATTTATATTTTTTCTTGATACATTGATAGGCTTAATGCTCCTGGAAGACCTTCTTGATGGTTGGAAACGGTGGTTGGATAATGGTGATAGCAAGCACAATGGATTGATATGCATATGTTGATTTTATGTTTATTAGAGGGATTATTCGTGGTCAAATATCAGATATAAGATTTTGAGATCTAAGATTTCTTTTTAAGATTTGATCTGTTGTATTTGTACTAATTTTTTTGTGTTTTTGATGGTTTAATATTTCTTTTGTGTTCGAAATTTTCTATTTGATTATTGTTGTTATTAATCTAGCTATATTTGGTGGAAAAAGCAACATAAGGTAGCATATTATGCTTAATAATTTAGCAGGTTATGAAGTATAATTTGTGAGGTTATGAAATTAAACTAACAATTTATGGATCATTAACTAGCAGGTTATAGATCATAATCTCATAAACTGACTGATTATGAAACATAATATGTTAGGTAGTTGGGAATGTTAGTATTACGAGATGAAATTTATTTATTTTTAAAAAAAAGTATATAAATAATTTCCTTAAAGGTTGATTTGGTATTTGCATATGTAATGAGCTCGTATTTATGAATTTATTTTAGGAATATACAATTTATTAGACAATCAATGAGACTCAAGGAAAAAGATGTAATTAGAAAGGTTAATGGATTTCACCTTACTCTAATTATTATTTATTTATAAATGATCAATCTATTTGAAGTGACTATATCAAATGGATATCTTATAGATGTAAATAAATGTCTATAACATTAAGAGTGCAATTCCAAGTTTAGAGTAGAGTAACTTTAGAATTAATAGACATAATTAATTAGTTAAAGAGTTTGATTAATTATTAATTTTATTAGAGCTTGATATTATATGGCCCTAAGTTTCCGCGTCGTGCTTGTAATTCTACAAGACACTAAGGTTAAAACACTAAGGAGAACAAGCAACTGAATCCTAGAAGGATTCTCCTTATGCTGAAATTAATTCTATACTTAACGAAAATTATCAAAGATTTATATTGTGTCTTGTTCCAGTCGTACATAATCTCATCATGTAAAATTCTCTTAAGGATTGATTCGGTACTTGAATATGTAAAGAGCTCGTATTCATGAATTTTTTTTATGAATATTCAATTTATTAGAGAATTAATGGGACTCAAGGAGAAAGATATAATTAGAAAAATTAATGGATTTCACTTTGATCTAATTATAAATTATTTATGGATGATTAATTTATATGAAGTGACTATATCAAATGGACATTTCACATATGTAAATAAATGTCTATACTAAATCTTAGAGGAATTCTCCATGTCCTGGACATGTACTACATGTGGTTCCCATCACATATGTATTTTAAAATTCCATAACATGACAGACTGAATCCCTCTAGGATTCGGCATAGGGAGAATCCGTTTAGGATCTACATGTGATCCCCACCACATGTGTGTTCTAACATTCCAAGATTATGTATCATAACCTGACAGACTATAATCGGCGCCAACAACTGGAGAACTGCCGGCATCTTGTAATTTACTAATTGACCACTGAGAGTAACTTTGGGATTTTAAAAAAAAAAATTTAATTTAACTATTTTTATCATTTTAAGTGTAAAAGGCTAGAAATCAAGGAGCTAATCTTTGAGGGTTAGAAATTGTTTGGGGTATTTAATTAAGGGATATTTTCCTTTTTTTCTCAATTTAAAACACTGTTTAAAAGTCAAATTCATAATTATGGGTATCCATCATCTGGTTAACTGGACGGATACAGTTTGCAGCTTCTCACTTAACGCTTTAATGCTAACCAAGCCACATTACTATTTCACCGTTTAAGGGAAGGATATTTCAAACACAACAATAACATTATGAGAAATTAGGTCCTGAGACAAAATTAACAATTTGCAAGTCACTAATAACATACAGTAAAAGCTCTTCAAACTGAGATTTTATAAGTAGAAATACAAAATATATTTATTAGGGTCTCATTTAGAGAAATTAAAAAAAAATGTATAATACACTAAAATTTGCAAGTCACGAACCATGATTCAAATCATGACACGAATATACTAAAATTATAAAAATTTAAACGCATAATTTATTTAAAATAAATATTGGGAACAGTAATAAAGGACAAGAAAATCACAATGTTATTGATATGTCTATGCATATATGACTCATCCATGTACCGAAAATAAAGAGGGAAAATTTCAACCAAGGATCCTTTGGACTTGCAACTTTGAAAGAATTTAACCTGACTCTTATCGATCGTCAAAACAACAACAAATGAATAACCAGAAAAGCAGTACTTCAGGTATATATATATATATATACATAGGTTTGGCGGCCTTTAATTCAAACCTTTTATTACAGTGGTTTCTACTCGCAAAAATTAGAATTTCTGCTTAAACTTATTTCTTGAAGCTGTGCATCAAATGAGCCAAATATCTCGTGCAGAAATTATGTCTGGTTGGAACGCTGTGGAATCTTTTTGAAGATAGCCCAGACGAGATCGAAATAGAGGGACAACTGTGCGATCAAAAAATAGGTAATGGGAAAGCACAAAGCTGCATATAAAGGATAAGCGGCGTACTTAAGCTTATGACTGAGAATAAAGATATGTCCGTCGCAGAAAGAGACTACGATGGAAGGTATAGAAGCGAAGAGCGACGTCAAACCAAGAAGAAGTTTCCGAGGCAAGTCCATGGCGAAGTCTTTTTCTTGGCAACGAGATGTGAGGATCGAGAGGAAGAAGACGAGGGCGGTGACGGAGAAGCAGAGAGCGACCAGCGACGAGATCGAGAAGGCGCCAAACACGGCCTTGTCTAACAGGAGGGGCTTGCCGGTATTTTCATTGACTCCACCGGGTATGGTTGCGGATGTGGCGAATGCAACTGTGGCCACAAGTGCCGCCACAACGGAGCAGGACTCGGAGGTCTTGACGAGCCATTTTCCGCCTTCTTTGGTGAGTTCTTTGTGCGTGCCGATGAAGATTTCTTTAGGGGTCTCATGCTTCGCGTTGTAGCGAGGGAAGAACTGCGGTGGCATTGACTTCTTCACAAACTGCAATTCGTCCAATAAGATAAAAAGTATGTCAAACTTAAGGCAATCAAGTACAGTTAATGCACACCTAATAAGATAAAAAGTTGGTTTAAATATCTAGTTAAGAGCCAAAAAAGTAATACAACAATCTAACAAATTGTATACAATAAGGCCGTTTAGTTCGCTGATTCGAGTTTTTAATTCGAGTTGAGATATGACTTTATGTGAGAGCTTTTTATTGTTGTAAAAAGTTAGATGTGATTGTTTGTGAGAATATTTTACTGTAGAAAAATTCAAATTCTAAACTTGAATCAGCGAAATGAACGGGGTTTAAAAATCAAACGGTTCATTAATACTTGTAGTTTTTCATTAATCTTCTATATGTACGTACCTTGTACCACTTGATTTCCCATTGCATTTGCAAAGCAACCCCAGGAATAAGCCAAGGGCGTTGCTCTTTGCACTGAGCGGCGAGGTGCAAGGCGCTGTTACCGTCCTTGTCGAGTTGGCGGAAAATACTCTCCTTCAGAATCTCGCTGTGAAGAAGGAGATTATAAACCTGGGGTTGTCTATTTTCCACTGCTAAGAGCACAACATTCTTGTTTTCAGAATCCAAATCTTGGATAGCAACTGGGAATTCTTTTAGGATCTTCTCCACCATTTCAGTCACTCCCATCTTTGCGGCCATTAGTATTGGTGTATGTCGTTTCCCTATTTTCACCACAATTTATAGTCAATTTTTCTGTCTACTTAATTGGGCACATAACAAAATTAACTTGATAAGTGTGGTTAGTATGTTCCTTTTCCATTGACACGTTTAAAAAGTCGGGAATAAGTTTCTACTAGTGACGAAGTCTAAGGAGTTTTTGCGAATTGTGTCTAATTCAAACTTTAATTATTATAATGTTTTCTCTCACAGAAATTTCAACCTTGGTTCAAATTCTTTTTTCAAACATATAAATCAAAAGAACCATTGGTTACAATGTATATAAACCATATATACATATATGTATGTATATATATTCGTCTAACTTACCTGTCTCGTTGTGATCTTTCCCTTTCAATTCATTTTTGAAGCTTGAAGATGTAGTACTTAAAGAGGCTGGATCATTAGGAAGGGCAAACTCTTCACTTATAGGACTAATAGGACCACCTCCTCGGGTTTGGTTGGGATCCCATCCGGTGTTGTCATAGAACTTATAGGAAGTAGTATGTTTTACTAATTCATCCATCACACGTTCTGCCCACATGTGAAGCTTTTTCTTTCTTTCGATTTTATTTATCCTCCAAATACCTACATTAGATATATAGTAACCTCATTGGTTAAATTTCAAAACAAATTCCTTCAAACTGTTTTTTTTTTTTTTTTTTTTTTTTTTTTTTTAAATTACCATTTTATAAATTTATTTTCATTAATTAGAATGTTATTTCGGTACATTTCAAAATAATATAATAAGGACGACAATGTTTAATATACTAACCGATTCCAAGGATAATTAGCAACACCTTCATTATAACGTTGAAAAATAGGATAAATGCCTCATAATTTGGAGGGAAAAAACGATCATCATTACTCTGCTGACCCTCAAATTGGTTGGTACCTACAAGAGAAGCGACAAAATGTAACCATTTCCAACCAAAATCATGCAAGGAGGGAAAAAACGATCATCATTACTCTGCTGACCCTCAAATTGACCTACAAGAGAAGCGACAAAATGTAACCATTTCCAACCAAAATCATGCACACATATATATACAGCTTCACAAAAATGTATCATACGTACATTTTTGTCAAATACATGAAAAATCACATTAAGAGCATCTCCAAGGAATTAACTCTAAATTTTAATTAAATTTTAGTTAAAATAATTAGAAAGTTATTTAACTTTTAATTTTTAAGTAAGTCACTCTAACCATACTTCTTATCTTAACTAAACATAGAATATTTAATATTTATTGAATTTAAAATATAAATAACTTTATTAAATTTAAAAAAGATCCCTTGCATTTATTACTGTTTGAAAGAATAAAATAACAAAAAAAAAAGTGAAATAGCTAGCCTCTTCATGCTAGTTATATTTAGTTAGTGTAAAATGTATTCTCTAAAATAACTAACCATTTAGCTAAGAGTGGAGAAAAGGAAAAAAAAAAAAAAAGTTAAATTATTAGCTATTTTTGGCTAAAAATGGTTGGAAATGCCCTTAGAGCATCTCCTAAGGAACTCTCTAAATTCTAGCTATATTTTAGTTAAAATAACAAGAAAGCCATTTTAACTAATGACTTTTTGGTGAATCACTTTAATCATACTCAATATTTTAACTAAACATAGAATATTTTAATATTTATTAAATTTTAAATATAAATAACCTTATTGAATTAAAATAAATCCTTGCATTTAAAACTGTTTGAAATAATACAATATTAGAACAAAATAAAATATCTAGCCTCTTTTTGTTAATTATATATGGCGAGTCTCTAAAATAACTAATCATTTGACTAATAGTTAGAGTGTAGAAAAGTAAATAAAAATGTTAAATCATTCACTATTTTGACTAAAAACATAAATGCGTGACGTGATATTGACAATTTTAATTGAATTTAGCCCCAATTAAATGCTACACTAGATTTTTTTATTTTTTTTATTTTTTTTTTTCCTAAGCGTAAGCTGCAGATTTTTCGAAAAGAGGAAAAAGTTATGGAAACGTCCTACCAAAAGAACAAAACATTAAAGTAAAAAGAAAAAAGAAAACAATAAGGGAGAAAACTAAAAATACCACATTTATATCATCGAAGTGGCAGAGTAAAAAAAAAATGTTTTTATAAAAATAATAATAAAGAAGCTTCTTTGGTAGATATGAAAAAATAAATTATTAGTAATTTTATTTATTTATTTTGTATATATTTTTAATTTAATGTAATTTTAATATGATCTACTAATTAAAAATTGACACTATAAATAAGACTAACTTATCAAAAAAACTCTCTAATAACAAATAATTTTAAAGGACATAAATTTAACATGTTTAAGTGACATAAATATGAAGATAACAAAAAGATGATCGTAGACAATTTTCTCAAAAAATAAAGTGGCTGGATAGCATGCCGAAACAAAAAGATGAAAGAAAAATAAGAATATCTACTATTCCACTCAAATTAAAGCGGATTAAAAACCTCAAATGGTAAAACCGGCCTATTGCCAATAAAAAAAAAAAAAGATTTTCTAGAAACAAAACTTATATCAACACACAATGTTAACTAAGTCCCGTTCACTTCGCTGATTCGAGTTTATAATTTGATTTTTGTTACAGTAAAAAGCTCTAAAAAACAGTCACATCTAATTTTTTTACTACAATAAAAAACTCTCACATAATATCACATCTTAACTCAAATTAAAAACTCAAATCAGCAAACTAAACGGTATTACGTTTTCTTGAGAGATTTCTAGAGAGAATTTAAGAATAGATTCCTGCAATAGTGCATTTCCCTGTGCCTATTACTTCCTATATCGTAGGTATATATAATTTGAAAGCACTTTTGTCTAATCAAAAGTGATAGTGATGCTTCCCTACAAAAAAAAAAAAAAAAAGAAAAAAAAAGAAAAAAAAAAAAAGAAGTTATAGTGATGCTTGCCTTGTGATTTTCTAATTTTTTGCAGATTCTCTTCACCGGCAATCTTTTCTATTTGCTCTTCTTTTCCCTTGTCTTGAAGAAGAGAATATTACAGTTAAGCGTAAATAATTAGCCACACGTGTATAGAGAATTTTATTCCAAAAAAAAAAAAATTTAAGTCCTCTCTAATTGAATCACGTAACACCTCTTCAACTTTGCTCAAACGAGTATAATTTTTCACTTTTTTTTTCCTTGAGTTTATGATGTTAATTCATAATGTATATTTATATGTAGGAATATTATTTTCTTTTTTAGTAGATGGAGTGATAAGAACTGAGATTAGAGAACTCACCACATTCTAACAAAGTCCCTATTTTAATATATTCAAAGTTTTATATATAGGAATATCATAATTTATGATTCATTAGCAATTTCACAATGGCTAATCATCCATTAATGAAGGCTTTTCTGAAAAGTTTTATATTATTCAGTCCTTAATTATTATTGCTTGAAATATTGGTATATATGTTTACCGTGTTCTGGGCTGCTCTTTCGTTGGGGATTCTCTTCATCTGTCCTTCCATCTTTCTTTTTTCCCTTAACACCAAATTTACTAACTGAAAAAAAATAAATAATAATAATAAAATTAGACTTCCAACTAGAATAAGAAATGGTGGAAATGAAAACATAGGTAATTTTGAGCGCGTTTGGAATTCGTTTCAAAATGATTTTATTTTTTGTATGAAAATGAAAATGAAAACGTTTTCAATCTCAGACATAAATTATTTTTAAAAATGTGTTTGGTAGATTTATCAAGAGATTATTTTCAGTGTAAAAAAACCCATTAATGTCTCTCTTTCTCTTTCTGCTCGAGAGAGGAGAAAATGAAAAACGACTAAAAGTCGTTTAGTCGTTTTTCATTTCTCTCTCATTTTACACTAAATCAAACTCATATATTGCGCCCAACGTCGTTTTGGAAACGCTTTTATTTTTTCTTTCTCGAAAAACATGAAAAATAAAAACGGGATCAATTCCAAACACGGTTGTATCTAATTCACCCACATGTGACTTGAAAAACAGAAAACAGCATTCCAAAGAAGTTAATGCATGTCTTATAGTTCTGTGGGTATGTGAGAATCTCCTCCTCCTTTCTGTTTCCTTTTTTAATATATGTGTCAATGTCATGTGTTTCCTCCTTAAGCTCATCCACAACTATACCTGAAAATATAATTTAGAGCAAATTGAACATAAAGAATATTGACAAACTAATTTATAGGACACATTTTTAGAGTTTAGTGGAGCTAAAAAAAAAAAAATTATATATTGTGTGGAATAAAAAAGTGGTCATACTGTGGTATATGATACGATCAAAGAGCCCAAAGCGACTGCTGCTTTTAAATGCATTAGGCATGCTTGCTAAAATGTGAAGCGGAGACAAACCGTTTTCGTTTATAGAGTCAGCAAGGTTTGGGTGCTCACGCATTATGCTCATTGCCAACCCTACATGCAAATACATCAAATTATAATAATATTCAACAATCATATATAGTACTCAAACTAATCACTTATCAATAATCGAAATAACAAATGGTCATTACATTATCGACTCGAATTATCTATTCAATTTTTGGTAAATCATTTGAGAAACCAGCGTAAAAATATACATTAAAGAATGTTTTAAATTTTTTAAATGATGTGGCGTAATATGGATGATTATATATCATTTTGGACGTTAAAATTAGACAGATAATTTGAGTCTGTAAATTATATTCGTGCTAAAAAATTAAAACTTACTGAAATATTCGCCAGAAATGGCAGCATGGAGAATTGTGTCCCCATCATTTCTTCTCACAAGGTAATCCTCGTTGCTTAGAGTATGTAGATAAAGGAAAGCCTCTATCTTTCCATGGAGAGCAGCCAAGAATAGGGGAGTCTCACCGTTGAGGTTTCGCAGGGCGATTAGGTTTTGATTCTTCGAAATCATGCTCTTGCAGACTCTCAGGTTCCCCAGTGCAGCCGCTATGTGGAGAGCCGTGTTTCCTTTCGCATTTTCAAGCTCCAATATATCCTCCTCGCATATCTCAACCAATTCCAATGCCGTATCCGTTTGTCCAACGGAAACCGCCGTGTGTAGCGTGGTGTCCTCCGATTTGGTGATCTTCGCCTTCCGAACCACGGGGCTTCTCTTGTAGATCTTCACGACCTCATCCCACTGGCCTTTCATGGCGTATGCAAACAAGTCATCTATTTCCACATGTAAAGCCATATTTAGCTTCTTCTATATATATATATATATTGATCTTCTATATTGATACTACAATATAAAGTAAGATTTGGTTTGTTCTCTCATGACCGATCATTTTCACTTTAAATAGCACTGGTCTCAGTCATGAAACTAGCGTGTAGAACTAGGGGACTTGAACAACATAGTGCAATTTTATGTTTTGCTTCAGAGCAAAGAAAGAAATAATTGCACTACAGATTAATGTGGAGTGCGAATATTATCACTGAAACAATAACTAATTATGTTGTACCGACCCCACTCAGCATATTAATTTTTCTTTCCTTCAAGTCATTCTTTATTCTCCTGATCAGTTAGTTGTTCAAATTAAGTATGAAGATACTTCGACACATATATATATATATATATATGTTCCTTAAATTAATTTCTTTTTCGCTTTAATTAGCCGTATCACATTTAGAACAACTCCAACAAAGATGTGTTCTCCATCCACCAAAAATGCATGTCGTCGCTTAAAGGGCAAAACTTGTCGTAGAAAAGTATTCAGCAACTATATGTTGTCGTAGATGCTCTCACACGAAACTCATTAGCGTTGACCGCTAATTCTCAAACCTTTTTTTATCGTAAGGTCTCATTGAGTTTTTGAATTCGAGTTTTCAATTCCAGTTACAGTAAAAAACTATCATAAAAAATTACATATAATTTTTTCTGATATAGTAAAAAATTCTTATAAAAAATCGCATCTCTGAACGAGTAATTTATTAAACAACTAGTCCTAAAACTCATAATCGGGTAGGGTACACAAATCTCAGATAAAGTTCCAGTCAAACATTTTTTAACCGACCATAACAGAATTATACATACATATGCATATATATATATATATATATATGTGTGTGTGTGTGTTTGTGTGTAGTACATATATATACATATATTTGCCTAGCCCAATTGAGAACGTTCTTCATAAACGTTTTTCCAGTGTTCTGTCTCAAGAAAGAAACAAAGCAAGAAAGCAGGAAATGCGAGACTAGGCGATGCAAGATCGACAACAGCAAAGAATCCACGAAAATCATCCTGCAATATCCAATATTTTTAGATTGGATTGGTTTGGGTTGGGTTGAGAGAATGTGGGGTTAGTAGTGGATTGAGATTTTTTCAATTTTAAGGTTTTGGGTCCAACCCATGAAATCCTTCCTTATCTTGTGTCATGTCTGAAATTTTAAGAAAAAGAGGAATTAAAATGGTTGAGATTGAAAAATTTTATTAAAAATAGGGCTCTATTTCATACACAAATAACATGTGTTCTTGTATCGCGTTCTAAACTTTTAAGAAAAAGAGGAACGAAATTGTTGAATTTAAACTTTACTAGAGAAACGGCTCGGTTCATTCAAAAATTACATCTCTCATTGTACTTTTTGAGATATGCATCTTTCAGAATATTCACCATTAATTTTTAAATTAAGGGTGGCAACTGTTAAATTGTTTTCCTTTTTTCAAACCGCGCCAAACCCTTCAATGACACCTAATTTATTAGCAAGAATATGTTCTCACCTAAAATGTTCAGTAACGTCGCTAAATAATTTTAGTGACGACAATGCCCTTTTGACAAAAAAATTAATATAAAACTTTTAATGAGATAAAATGTTTTTAGTGATGACAGACCATCTTGGTATGGATGACTTTTAGCGATATAGTTATCGTCGAAGCACAATGATAACAATAACTATAATATGTTGTAGGAGGTGGGGGCACATTTGTTGATCACTATACCAAATATATGTGGAACTATCCCCTCAAACGGAAATCCTATGTGTTTGATGTTTTTGTTCGGTTTAAAGCCTTAGTGGAAAAATATTTTAACCGCAAAATTATCACTCTCTCTACGACAATGGTAGAGAATATTAAGCTTTGAATAAATTCTTTGCAACCAATGGTATCTCTCACCTCACCGCTCCTCCACACACACCCGAACACAATGACTATTCCGAGCGTCATCATCAACATATTGCTGAAACTGGTCTCTCCCTTCTCACGCATGCCTTCCTTCCTCTAACTTTCTGGCACTATGCCTTTGCCATTACCGTCTATCTCATCAATCGTTGTCCACTCCCACCCTCCAACTCTCCTCTCCCTATCACCTTCTCTTCTAATCTCCTCATAACTATTCCAAATTCCGAGTCTTTGGTTGTCTTTGTTATCCTTGGCTTCGCCCTTTCTCCGCTTAAAAACTTGAACCTCAGTCTACACCATGTGTCTTTCTTGGCTACTCCTTCACCCAGAGTGCGTACCTATGCTTCGATCCATCCACCTCCAAGCTCCACACATCGCGTCACGTCCATTTTGTTGAAAGTGCTTTTCCCTACAATTCCTTCTAGAGTCATCTCACTCGTCCTGACTCAAACATTATTACAACATGGCTTCCTCCGTTTTTCTCTTTGCATGTGTCCCAGTCCTAATCGTCACTTGACACGCCCTCTGCAGCACCGCCTTTTGCATCGCTCCCGCCCTTGATTCTTCATTCGGCACAAGCCCCGTAACCGTTCAACTGAACCTTATGCTGTCTCGGATGCCGGTCGACTGGACACCACGCAACAAACCCCTGCCATGCCACCGGTTGACCAGACCCCTAATATTGTTTTGGTTGCTGGTCGATCGAACTAAGCACCATCATCTGTTTCAGACCCTACCTCTGCACTGTCGAACCCACCTCAACCAGTCATATCTCCCTCCCCTGCACCACCACCCTTACCTCCCTCTCCTCCCTCACCATCCAATACCATTATGACCCGATTCAAACATAACATCTGCGAGTCCATTAAAAAATTCAACCTTACGACCTAACTCCACCAACCTGATGACCTTGAACCCACCACCACCACCTAAGCTCTTAAAGATCTCAAGTGGCGTCAAACAATGTAGGCTGAGTATGATGCTCTTGTTCAGAATGGCACAAGAGAACTTGTGCCCCCAGATCATACCTACAAGGTTGGGTGTAAGTAGCTCGTTTGCACTAAATGTTTATCTAATGGCTATGTTGACATGTACAAAGTCTGTCTTATTGCTATCAGCGACTAAGAGTTGACTACCATGACACCTTCAACCCTGTGATCAAACCAACTACCATTCGGCTTATTCTAAGTATTGCCTTTAGCCGAGGTTAGCATTTGTGACAATTGGATGTCAACAATGCATTTCTTCAAGGCACACTTGTAGAAAATGTATTTATGACACAACCACAGGATTTATTGATCATGATCATCCTACTCATGTGTGCAAACTACGCAAATCTATGGCCTCAAACCAGCTCCTTGCGCTTGGTACCATGAGTTACAATAATTTCTTGTCACCTCTGGCTTCACCAACTCCCATGCCGACACTTCTCTCTTTGTTCTTAACATTCTTAACACAAGTGGTACACTAATATACTTGCTTGTTTATGTTGACGACATTATCATCAAAGGTGACAAAAATGTATTGGGTTTCCATCTTAAAAGGTGTTACTGTTTAAGTAGGGTGGTACAACATCTTTATGTAGTTGTGGTTATGTTTATGTTTAGATGATGTGGGACAGGGATATTTTTACTCTTAACACGCCTTCGCAAGATGGTGCTCCATTAAGAGTCACAAATCTTGTATTTTTTATAGATCGGCCCAACTTATGAACAATGGTCTCTGACACCATATGAGATTTTGAAAAATATGGCGTAGCCTTTCCATTGAATTAAGATGAATATATATACAAGGTGTAGAGGATTTTATTAGGATAGTTTCCCAATTCAAATCAAATTCAAAAATAAAAGAATATTTCCTACTCTGAAATTTAAACTAAGATAATCTATTCTTTTTTTTTTTTAGAAAGTTAAGATAATCTATTCTAGAAAACTAGATAAATACCATAAGAATACAAATACAAATATTTAAATTCCTTCTTTATATGGGGCCACCAACTACCCGAAAACCCAAAAACCCAATATCCTATAAAGTGTAATTTTTTCTATCACTTTTTTTCTCATCTCTCCTCAAACATAAACATGACTATAGTTAATAAGGATATTTGGTCACCTCACTTAAAAATATTAACCTTTTAAGATGGAAGTTTAATACCTTATAAAGTACAATTTGTCTCCCTCACTTTTCTTCTCATCTTTCCTCAAACTCTTAATAATTATAACGGCCTCATTGATCGTAATTTTAGGCTTTAAATTGGACTGTTTATATTAAATTATGTGGATTTTGAACAGTACCCTTACATTAGCTTCATAAATCTAATTTAAATCGTACAATATTAAACGTTAATTATCACTACGGTGAGATGCTAATATGGTAGAATTTCCACATTTTTTAGACCAGGGTTGTGCTTCCAAGGACACATCTAGACAAATCTTTGACAACAAAAAGTTGAAGTAAGGTACCCATCTAAAGAATTGACACATGCGTCAAACTTTTTAGATTCGATATATATTAATATTTAATTGCATTTTCCAATTATTAATGTTTCTGTACAGCGTAAAAGATGACAGCAAATAACTTTCCTTAATCCAAATTCTTCAATAAGCATTATAAATAATCATACATTAGCTAACTAATTGCCAATTAACCCCGAATCCAAGCAATCAGGTTCCCTAATTTATAAAGGGAGAAAGAGAAAAATAAATTAAGATTTGAGATGAATTAAAATTAATAGGCTAATAGTTTACATAAGTTAATAAATAAACTAAATTACTGTTTTTATCCATAACTTGTCTAGTTATGAATCATAATTTGACAAGTTATTGTCTATAAATTACAGTTTTTATCCATAACTTATCTGACTATAAACCATAACTTGACAAGTTTATCCATAACTTATCTGATTATAAACCATAATTTGACAAGTTATGACTTATTAATTTTTATAACTAAAAATTGACCTATATATTTCTTTAAACTTTTTATATTAGCATATTTTTTACTATTTTCATAAAGGATTCCCAATTGTACTATGAGCGACTCAAAAGCGCATCAGCGCCTTGTTGATGTTATGCAATCGACTACTGTGGAAGAATTAATTGTAAACTTGGCAATATTCCTCACACTCA